TGAAAAAATACATTATCGATCATTCGATCACAAATCAAAAATGAGGCAAAATAAGGTTTATCGCTTGACACAAACTTGACACCAACTGCAAGATTGTTTTTACCAAAACAGCAAAATATAGCTAAAGTTTTCATGCAAATCACCTTAAAACCAAGTACAGAATACAGTTTAGTTCCTACACACTGAAGGTTCTGATGGATGTGAAGGATCAAAACACTCTTGTCAGTGAAGAAACCATTCCATCCCTATTGATCAGGTGAAAATCAACCTGATAAAAGTCTAAAGATCACAGAACACACGTGATTAATAGTGTGGATGATTCATTGCTTTCTCCATAAACATATATTATGTAATTAAATAGAGTCTTAATGATAAAATGGACAGATAGGTGGCAGGTGATACTCACAAGGCTCTGATTGGCTTGGAAGAGTCACATGATGTTCCTTCACGCCATTAAACAGCAGCTCTGCTCCTCCTCTGGACAAAGAAAGAGTCCAACAGGTGAATTAGACTAATTTGTTTCTGTGGCCTTTAGAGGCACATGCAGGTTTACAATCAGGCATTTACCACTGCTTGCTGTTGTTCGATAATAAATAAATAATGAAAACCCCACATTTCTTTCAGTTTTCAATTTTTGTATTTTCTCAAAAGAGCAGCTTCAAATGTTAAAGCCTGGAATTCAAAATCACAGAACATAAAATCCAGGTAATCTACGACAACATATAAACAGTTAACTAAGAAACACATATCATGATACTTCACATACGTCTTCATGAAATCAGCCACTGTGTGAGGATCTGTGCTTTGTATTGTTCAGAGTTCACACACACACACACACACACACACACACACACACACACCTCGGGGCGGTTACTTCATAAACAAACTCCCCACGCGCAGTTTTCTCCACAGATTTCACGTCTTTTAATAAAAACCACACAAGCTAAACGCATGTAGGTGTCGTGTGATGTTTGATTTCATCACAGCAGGAGAGAGAAGCTTCAGCGGCCGCAATAAGTTTTAACAGAGCGTTTTAAATCCACTTACCCAAACTCCAGGTGAATCGCTATGGGCGCCGCCATGTTGTCGGCAAAACCAGGAAGTAGTGGTGCGGGATGCCGGAAGTGACGTAATCTGACGCGTTTTAAAGGAGACTTATTTCCCTGAAACCTCTTTTCTATACATTTGTACCAGACCCCTGCGTCTATATGCTTTTATTTATACTTTTATTTACATTTATTCTGTTATTTCTCTGCATGCAAATTAATATATATAGTTTTATATTTTACATACTATGCTCTACACATGCTGTTGACTCTATTCTTTGTTTTTATGTTTTAAAAAAATCAGAAGGAGACTTGATAGTTCTTAAAAAAAAGATATATATAATCGTGTTATTTATTAGATCATATTCACAAGCAGGTTGCATAGAGTTTACAATATATGAATCATAATTCACGATGTAATTAATAAAAAAGAGGAATGAGAGAAAAGAAGACAAATGTTTGTTGTCACTAATATATTGTTATTATTATAATATATTATAGAAACACATATAATATGTGTGTGTGTTTTAAAGCTGTAATAGCTGTTTTTCTGTTTTCAATAAAAAAAAATTAACTTGAATATGTGCTGGAATTACAAATGTCATTTTGAAAATTCTCTTTGTCCAAGTCTTTAAATTGTCATTTTGTTTTCTTATTTTTAAATTATTATGAACGTTTGTTTTTCATTTTCTGATTGAGAACTATTCTCTAAAATGTATTTCAGACCTTTGTTAACCATGATAAAATGAACTGATGCATTTATCTCTCCCCCAGAATCCCTGCATTAACTCTGCCCTACGGTGACACCTTCATTTATGGACTGAAATCCACTTGAACTTGACTTTATTTTAGGAAATCATTATATAGGAGAATCATTAGCACACACAGCTACTGCACGCTCTCTTAGACACTTTCTCTGAATGTGCATATGCATGTAATTGCATTGATGCTGTCGATATGAACATGTGCAGAGGCATGACATGAGTGTGTGAATGCACATCTGTCCCCCTCCATCCCTCTCTCCCTCCTCACATACGTCCTCAATCATACTGGTGACAGTTCCAGTCCCAGTATACATGGCTGGGAGGACAAGGTGGGGGTGGGGGGAGGTCAGTCAGAGGTTTGAATTGCAAATCTGTCGCCTTCTGTTGGCGTCCAAGCCTTACAGGCCCTTCCCTGTCTTCATTCATGTGTTAATGAGAAGTCAGTGCAGGGGCAGATAGACAGATCGACCAGGGGCCTGGTGGGGGTGAGGAAGCAGGCGGGAAAATGAGGGTGATGGTGGAGTTCAGCAATAGAGAAAGTTCTGAAAGATGATGAAGATGTGATGATACATGGCTGCTGGTTGTTGTCTCTCATCCCAGCTGGAGTGAGGTGTGTCCTCACAAGTGAAAACAGTCATGGTGTGAGCTCAGAGGGAGGTAAAGAGGAGGAAGATGAGGTGTAGCAGGGATTTTTCATGCCTGTAAGTTTCATGGTTGTGTAGCGAGTTATCCAGGACCGATCACACAGTCACTGGGTGTCACATCACATTTGCTAAGCTGCCTTGAGCTTCACATAGTGCTGTTGTGGATGGTGCACCATGCTTCTGTTGTGAACTAATGAATTTCTTGAGCTTTCTGCATCTCCATATGGAATAAACCAAAAATATATTTTACTTGCATTTGATAGTTGAACACAAATAGCTGCAATTCATATATTTAGTATGAGTTTATTTTACAGGTTAAACACACTAATTAGACTTTAAACCAAGATTAATTTGAGATATTTTAGTATTTTGAGAATATATATCCAGATATATATCCAGTAGCAGATGATTTAAAACAGCTGTTAATCGTAATCATAGTAGAATTATAAAATCGAATGCTCAGGTTTGCAAAGTAATAATGTTTGAATTGAATGCACAAGGCTGCGTATAAAGGATCTACTAACATTCATTTATCATTTAAAGTACAATTTCTCAGGTCTGGACTCAGTCAAATCATAATTCTCATCCAAATACAAAAGGTAAAACATTTTTTAATTAAATTAGTAGAATATTATTTTATTCTATGACATATTAGCAACCTCTAACATTTCTCTTTGCTCAGAGACACTACAGGGCTGGAGCAAACATACATCCAACCCCAAAATTCCACCATGTTCACCTCTCACACTGGAAGTGTGATGAGTTTGACGCGAGGAAATCCCACAATCACAGCCCCACGAATCAAGTTTTCACGCCACCCTGCCGATATTGTGCCTGTAGATGGATGTCAAAAGTCAACGCTACACTGCCAGGCACCAGCTATAGAGCAGCCCGGGTCACACATGATCAGATGACAATGACCAACACAATGGATTAGCTATAAAAGGGCTGGGGGGAGAGATTAGGGGTGAATTGATGACGGTTGGCTGGCAGGCAGACAGGCAGTTCCTGGGAGATCTTGGGTCCGTTTCAATAAGGAACATAAAGAGCTGAAATTAACATGTACCATGATACCAAGCAGAGAGAATCCCCTTAGAGATTACATCCATAACATGTTACGCCTATGGAACTGTATGGAAGAGGGAGACAAAGAGCAGAGCGAGCGATGATTTTCTATTGTAGATGACGGGGGATCTCTTGAATCTGTCTTTTTCCCCTTTTTTCTGTTGTGTAACATATTTTTCTTAATATCGCAAATGCAAAAATTCTTCCACATTCATTTCACCCATCGTAATACATCCCCTCACCTCCCACCCTCAAATACAGCTGCCAGGCCGCACTGCTGCCTCCCTCTGTAAAGGGCTCAACAGTAAGATGCATCTGGCAACATCTGTATCGCTGCACACATACATGCACATGCACGTCGACAGAAGAACACATTGATACATAAACACACACACTGTCCATCTGTTTCTCCCTCCCACTGACACAGAATCACAGTGGGTCCCTCCATGATGTCTGATTCGAACACGCATTCTCAGTGAACCTCACTCTTTGCATTTTCTGTGAACCAGGAAACAATTGCACATTTTTATGCATAACAAATATTTAAAAAAGACCTATCAGAGTATCTGAAGGGCCCATGAGGCTGAACGATCCAGGAAATGTGAGGGTGCTGTTATAGGTGGAAGAAATCGGAAATCAGGAAGTGCTGCTCTGCAGGCACAAGAACTAGGCCAGGAACCAAACTGCTCATAACTGCAGATGGTTTGATATTAGGACTGCAAAATTCAGGGTCAGCCGTGGTTTGACAGGGAAATGCTGCCCCCTACTGGCTGCCAGTGTAAATCACAAGACAGTGGCTCCCTCCACACAAGGATCAGATCTGAAACAGCTGTTTGTTGGACACCATTTTCCGTAAACCTAGCGGTGATGGTGGTATATGAGTGTATATGTGCATCCGTCCATTGTCTATTCTGCTTTGAGGGTCACGGGGGCCATGAGCCAATCCCAGCTGACGTTGGGCGACAGGAGGTGAACATCTTGGACAGATCACCAACATATCACAGAGACAAACAACCAGTCAGTCACAACTCCAACAATTTAGAGTCACCAGTCTACCCAACCTGCATGTGTTTGGGCTGTGAGAAGAAGTCAGAGTACTCAGAGAAAACATGAGCAGACACAAGGGAGAATACAAACTCCACAGTTGGGTTTCATACCCACAGACACAACCACCTTCAAACTAAAGACAGAATTCCCTTGTGTGTTTATTGGCTGCTGGTTAAATGATTTAAGAAGTCTGGCAGTGTGATATATCTTTCTTACCGTTACCATAATACATAACTTCCTTCTGTCCTAAAGCTATTTGCAGCTGCTGTTATTTTGTATTTTTATAGACTAAACAATTAATCAATTAACATGAATTCAATGGAGAGATTTAGCTGCTATATATAAGTTTCCTGTAAAAGTAGTATTTCACACAGTCAGACCTTTACTAACACAGGTGCATGTTATTTGTCTGAACAAAGACTCAAACCCATGGAGACGAGCAATTATTTTATTTGAAAAAAAAGGAGTCGTTATGTACAGTACGTAAGAAAAACATGAGATCAGTCCTAAATCGGTTCTTGTCTTTTTTGCTTTTCAAGGCCCCGTTAGACATAACAGGAGGATCCGAATACCGAGCATTCCTGTACAGCATTCGACAGACGACAATTAAAAACATTACATCTTCCTCTTCATCACCAGTTTGCACATATCAAACCTAAACCAGCAGGCGTCACCTTGGTCTCAAGACACACACAATAAATGCTTTCACTTGTGTGTGTCTGTTCCTGTTACATTGTGGTGTTTTATGCTGAATGAACATTACCCCCTGCTGGACAATAGTGGGAACTGTCACATGAGCTCACCTCAAATATGGTTCAGACCAGAGAATGGGACATCCACACATCCATGAGCTCTAGGGCTAGAGTTATATATATATGTTTATTTTTTGGAATTATTTATTGATACCTGATGTGAGTTTCATTCATATATAGATTATCAGTTTGGATAAGAAAAATTGAATGCAATACCTGAAATTAAATGATTGCATAGGCCTGACAGTTGGCTCCAGCCATCTCAGGGCCACGTGCTGTTAATACAGCGATGATTTAACACGGAAATTCAAACCAAATGTGACATCACAATTCAGATCTTTTCGGCTCTATTGCAGAAACACAAATTTAAAACAGACCTGTAAACTCATTCTCTGCAGCAGGGATGTGTACTCAATTTCCTTAGTTTGGAATATTTCCAAACAGAAATGAGATTAAAGATGTTAAAGCAACATTTTACCTGATGCAACATTTTGCTTCAACCATTTTTATGATTTCCACAAATTGCAGCTCACATTACTGAAGCTTTTGTCAGTACTGATGCACATGTTCAAGTGAACTTTTCTTTAACTCTCATTAAAATGTTTGTGTTTAGCTTCACTTTGTGCTCAAGTTGCACAATATCACATGTACTCGTCAAGATGCTAAAACAGAATGAGGTTTGTTTTTAGCGAATCGCTAAAACCCTCGGACAGACGTTGCAGCGTTGCTATTGCAAATGTTTCATCTCTGATGCATTTATTAATGCAGGCCTGATACATTTTTAATGGGATTTAATGGGACTGCTTGATACATAGTTAATGGGGTTTTATGAACACGGTTCCCTCAGAACAAGCACCAATGGATTCTTATGAGTTTGGTGAAGCAAAGTCTATAATATGCAGATATGGTTTGATCATATCAAATAAATAAGACAAACACATTGAAGATGAAAGACACACAGAAACAGAGGAGTGTAAACATACACACATGTGCACAGACTGTCACACACAGACACACTCATTCACACAGACAAAGCATCCATCTGATGTATGAGCCATGTTAAGTTACTGTTGTCTTTTCTGCTACAGTGTGCGACAGCAGTAGTCTGAAACAAGAGAGTGTCTGTGTTTTATTGGAGTCCTGTTTGGCCCTCGGGGGACACAGTACATGTGTCCATTTGTACCAAGCACAAGAGCCAGTCCCCCGTCTCCCCCATATTCTTCTCCTCTTTGTTGCCTTTTGAATATTTGAAGTGAGGAAGTCCACAGGGAGTATTTGGAGTCCACAGTCAGTGCAACACGTTATAAGTGCATAACCCTCTTTTCTGTGTTCCTAGTGCTCAACGCACACGTAGCTGCCTCTTCGTTCACTCTGACCCCTCCCAGCGTTCATACTGGACTCTTCCACATCATCCTCTGCGATGCAAAATAAGACCGTACGACTATGAGTAGGGAGTGCAGATGGGGGGTGTTAAATTTTTCTTTTGATGGCGGGCACTGAGGTGTGTGTTATAGCTCGCTCTGGCGCACAGGAGGCTCTAGCTTGTGAGATAGGGCAGTGAGAACCTTGTCGAACTTCTCGTAGCGCTCTGATTGGCTGCCCTCGGAGCCGCGGCTGCCCCACAGGAGGCGCATCTGGAACTCTGTCTGGAAGATCTCGTGTATTTCTCCTCGCTCCTGGAGTCCTGGAGAGGAGGAGGCGGAGGAACAGGAGAGAAGAGCGGAGAAGGAGAAGAGAGGAGGTTACTTTTTATTGTTGATATCATAATCATAAAAATCATGGTGATATCGGGGTTACCAAAAAAAATTACAAAACTTGATTGGGTAACAAAACATAAAACAAATCATGACTGTGGAAAATCTAATACTGAACCGTGGCTGATTTTATTTAAAAAAAACTGAATGAAATATAACTCGAATAAAATACAGTGAAAGGTTTTCAGGCCTTCGGACTTTTGAGATGGATTATATCCCATAGACTTTTCCAGAGGTAAAGAATGAAGCTGCTGATCTGATAATGGTCGTCACCCAGTGCCCAACAGAACCAATTCAAACTGAAGACACACCAACATCTGCAGCTGAAACTGTTCTAACATCTGTATGAAGTAAGTTTCTCTGCTCTGTTGATGAAGGTGCAGACTGAGGTCACGCTGATCAATAACGACACATAACAGAAAACACGGATGTGAATTGATAGTTTCTGAAGGACTGTTCAATAAACAAGTAATGACCTCAAACTGAGAACCAATAGGGAGGTATTGGGGATCAATACAGTCCACATCACAACCACACACACACACAATCATTATCATCATTCATTAAGCAAAATCTGTGATATCATAAATGCAATCATTATTAACACATTAACAGCATCAGATATAACAGTGATTGTTGAAAACCTTACTTCCTGCCCAGTCCAGGAAGGCTGGACTTAGGCCACTTCTGAACCAATAGGAGGCCTGGATTAGGGCCTGTTAACTTGTTCTGTTTGCTACACGTTGACCTGCTTGTTATACTACCTGTTTCTTTGTTTAAGAGTTAAATATTTTTAACCCTAGCTTTAATTTGTCTTTAAGCCATTAAAGCAACGCTATGCAAGTTTTACCTGGCAACAGCGCCCTCTGCAGCCACGCAAAGTTAAAGTTAGAGCAAGAGCAGATGCTGAGGGTGTAGAGTGGGAATTAAAGTTACATCATTCTCACTGTTCCAAGTCAGTGAATTATCAAACTACATTTGAATTCTCCTCTGGTCCTTATCCCCATGCAGATACTAATCTACAATCTAATCTAACAAAAATAAAAGCATGTGGTGGGGTCTTCCCTGCACTCTTACCCTGCAGTTTGCCCTCAGTGTTGCTTCTGTAGATTCCCCCGTGATGTGCGATGGTGCGAGCTGCCTCCAGGTGATACATGACCACGTCTACTCCGACCTCGGCACTCTCCCACGGCTCCAGCGCCTCCCCGAGAGCAAGGCCGCGCTCCAACAGGGACAGGACGGGAATGATGTGGGGGAAGGACGTGTTGGACAGAGTACTGGACTCTGTGAGCAGAACAAGGTGGTGAGGTGTAATATGAATTCCTTTAACTAACTTATATTACTACATGTTAATGAGAATCTCACCTTTGCCATCATTCATATTCTTCATGAAAGGTTTGAGTTTCTTCTCATATAGAATGGCGCCCTCTGTATGTCTCTGCCGTAACGTCACCCAGGTCTGCTCCAGGCGGGAAATCTGACGTAATGAACGACACAGCAGCAAATGTAAGAATGTTTCTTGAGAAAAAAGGGATGGAAACGTCTGGATGTTTATAAACCTGTAAGTCGATCACCTGTGGCAACTCCAGGGCTCTCATCACAGCAGCGAAGCCAAACATGTTTCCCATGTTGCTTTTCAGCTCGGCTGCTAACTGGATGGTTTTATGGAGCAGGGCTGCTCTCTCCTCAGTGCTTCCAGTACAGCCAAGCAGGTCCACTGCCATCATGATAGACATGGTGTAGAACCTGGAGAAAGAGGAACACAAAAGATGTAATATGATGCCTCCCACTGAGTATTTATCGAGTTGGCTGTTTAGCTTTAGAATGACTGAGGAATATTTGTTGTAATGCACAAAAGCAGTGGGGAAAGAGGAGGGAGAACAGAAGATGAGAGGAGACGAAAGATTTGGAGGGCGAGGATAAGAACAGAAGACTGAAGACAAGAGATAAGAGGCAGCAGAGGAAGTGAAGAGCAGAGATAATCAATATCTGAATTAATGAAGACGTCACTGTTGGATGCAGAAAGGAAGACAGCTGGAAACTTGTGTTTGTACCTCTCCAGTAGGTCAAGTCTCAGCTGGTGTCCGTGTGGAAGCGTCAGTAACTCCAGCCCTGAGGACACTCCCATCATCCTTTGCGTCTCTGAGGTTACACCCAATATTCTGGCCACCTGCCCGGGGATTAAGTATTAGAGTGTTAAAATGTGCATATGAATTTATATTTAATTGCCTTTGTATGCATGTGTGCTGCATGCTGTGTGTGTGTGTGTGTGTGTGTGTGTGTGTGTACCGTGCAGTCCACCATGGTGATGTGTTTGGCCACCGTCCTGGCGTCCACCTCAGCCAGCAGCTCTTTGACTCTCTTCAGCACCGACATCTCCAGAGGCTTGTTCTCAGCTGGCATGAGGCACGACTCGTACCTGCAGCGGAGCATTGACACCGCATTAGAAAAGCAGGAGAGGACAAAAGGGACGATAAGGACACCGACCGCAAAGATAGATTGGCTACAGCAGAAATTCTAGCAACCTGGAAGTCGTTGAAAAAAAACAAAACATGTAGTAACAACTTTTTAGATAAATCTTTGACTTTTCGGATCCTGAATTACAGCAGATATAGTGTGCAGCAGACGTAGAGCCAGAAATAGGTCAGGGCGACACAAGCCCACATTACTCACTGGAACGCCCAGCCAACAAACATATGTGAAATAAACAGAAAGGGAGCAAGTGAAACAAGGTCGGAAGCTGCTGGAAAGTGGCTCCCACAGACAGACACTCTTCTTTGAGCTGGTCACAGCACTGACGTATAACAACAGCTGTGATTAATGCACAAGGGATATGGGATAAGTGTGATTTCCATCTGATGTGTACTCTGTAAACATAATGTGCACGTTTGTGTGTCTTTGTGTCTCGTACCTGGACGGCCTGAATGAGGATGTCCTCTCCACCTGTGGTGCGCAGAACATCCCATCACCTTCCTCCCTCGCTCCCTCCTCCCTCCCTTCCTCAACTCGCAACCGCTCCACGTAGCCCTTCGCTGGGGGCTTGGGGGGTCCGGGGCAAGGTCTGAGGTCACAGTAGCTCCCCGCTGTCTCTGAGGAATGAGATTGGTAGCCGGGATGATGGGCGGGTGAGGAGTGTGCCGAGTGAGAGGTATGAGCGGGATGCTCCGGAGGGTTGCTACCAGCCAAGGGGCTGAGCTGAGGGTCGCTGGACTGACGCATCACTGGGGAGGGTGGGACGACGGCCAGGACGCGCCCCCCTGAGAGGGCTCTCTGCCTGGTGACTGCAAAATGACAGAAATATGAAATATGAGAGGGGGTGGGGGTCTATTTATTCTTTACTAACGCATCGGAGTTTGCAGGAACTTACTAGCACTATATGCAGGAGACAGTGGGGTCTCCCCGACAGGTGACAGGGGGCAGCGGTACTCCTGAATCTGGTCCATGCTCATCGCACAGTTCCGCATTGCGTCTTTGTGGTGGTGGATTGTCGACGGGCTGCAAACAAAGCATTTTTAGGATATAAAAAATCTTTGGGTTTGAAAGCTGTCAAGGTGCTGAAGGGAACATCGCGACGCAGCGCAACTCAGGGCGTCACATTTCTCAGTTTCAGAGGACAGGGACAGTGCGGTTAAGAATGTTAAGACTAAATATTGTAGGGTGAGAGAAGAGGGAGACGGTTTAGTTGGTGCAACCTTGTTCTACTTCGTTATACAAACATATTTTATTTATGAATTAAAAAAACATGTTCACGTCTTACAAACAGGAGCAGAAAACATAGTGCAGAGTGGCTATTTAGAACTAATGTTTAAGATGTATAATCATCATCTTTATCACATTATCAGCTCGAAATGTTATCAACAATTTCCCACAAATCTTTTCTTCCTAAAGATATGACTATCGTTGTTTTTGTCCAATACTTTAAAAGCTTGGAAAACTCCTTTCCATACTCCTCACGAGGCTACAATTTATCTCCACAGTGCAAAACATGTTTTTCTGCTCCTTCTTTGCAATTTGAAGTTCCAAACAACCTCATTCTATTTGAAACTTGAGTGCAGAGGTGGTCAGTTTGCAGCGTCACTACTTGGCGCTCGTTACTACGGGAGGTGCTGACAGTGTGTGTGAGGTGAGGGGGACCACAGGAAGGTGGGAGGTGAGTGCACTACTTCAGTGCTCAATCACAACACTGGTGTCACACAAACACACCACCTGCAGTTGGGCACAGGTTCCGGCTCTGGATCTGGTGGTGCCACCGGTGTCTCAACTGGGCTGGGACTGTCTGAGTCATCACTGATCATGTGTATAAAATAAAGTAAAGAAATGAAACAAGGGCAAATATGAAGACTTCGAGAAAAGTTAAATTATTGGATTCTCAGCTGTTGTTTTCATCCACCTCTCAAAAACCCAGACACTCCTCTTTCTCCCTGCTCACCTGTGAGGCATCATCTTCTCCGTCGTCAGTCCATCGTTCATGGTGACGCTGCGCCTCTTGATGTACGCTCCCCTCTGACTGGACGGCGAGTAGGCCGAGCCTTGTTTGCTGTTGGACAGGGAGAAGGTGGCCTCCAGGTAGCGCAGGGGGAGAGTCCTGCTCACGGGACAGTAGATGTGGACACCGCTGGACTGGGAGACCGGTTTGCGCTGGCCTATGTAGAACCGCACAAGCTCCTGGACCGAGTCGAAGCTGTCAGTCTCCAACATGTACTGCACCTGAGGATGAAGAGACATTTAATATGGCATCTTTGGATATTTAATATAACTACTGAAATTAGCCGGCACCTTGAACATAGATAAGATAGTGGAGGTGCAGGATTTAGAAGCTGATAAAGACCGTGGTCAAGACTAAACAGATGCTTCTCACATGTGGACACACTTTCACAGGTCAAACACAGATGTGCATGTTGATTAGTATAAATGGCGAGTTGAAACAAGCAACAATAAAAGTTAACAGACTGCACAGTACCTTGGTCTCATTGGATTTAACCAGGACTTTGCTGATCTTGAAGTGCATCACTTCATTGTTCCATCGACAGGTCAGAACATAGTCCCCCACACTGGTCAGAGAGTCCCGCACCAGGAAATCTCCGTTACGCAAAACCAGAGTCTCTGACACCTACACGGAGAAAAGAGACGTGTTTCTAAATTTGTAAAATGAGCCAAAACAACAACGCTGCAATCTCAAAGAGCTGGAAACAAACTTAGCTCAATGAGCAGGAGTGTGTGTGTGTGTTTATGTGTGTGTGTGTGTGTGAGAACATTGTGTTACTGACACACTGACTCTTGAATAATTGAATCTAGAGAATCATGATTATTTACAACAATGCCTTTGTGTTGTTGAACAAACACAACTATCTCTCAAACACACACACACAACAGTCAGTCAACAGGGACGACGGCTAGAATGACTTTGAGTTCAGCACTTACTGTAAAATAAATATTATTAAGATTTGAACGTCAAAACAAACAAAAATGCAATCTCCCATTCATTCATGGTGAACGGATCAGCCTCAGGATGAATATGTTACTGATATTAAACCGATGTGTTGCTGCTGGTGTCTGCGAGGAGAGATCACACATATTGATCCAGCAGTCATGTAAGAAACACATTTTAAAGCTTCCTGCAAAGAGAGCACCATGTAAGAGCACCACTGACCAACAGGAGGCAGTATATACACAGATTAAAAACTCAACCCCAGCACAGGATGCTTTTTAAATATTCTGACGAGTTTTTGCAGCTGAATTTGAAAATATATGGTTTATTTTCAGTTTGGAAGAGATTGCATTAAATAAAATGAGAGAAAGGAAATACACACTGGTCCATATGCTCGTGACTTATATACATGCAGGGGGACGTCTTGACTTTTAAAGGGAAGAGCAACAAACAGGAAACAAGAAAGAAGGAAGGATGAGACTTAGGGACGCCAACATATTCTGGTACAGGAGATGTAGTCATTAAGTATTGTTTATTCAGGGTTTCCCCAACTTTACACTGGGGCAAATCCATGAATCCATGAATATTTTATGTAAATTAAAAGAGGGAAGACTCACAGATGGCTGATTTGAATCTCTCTCTCTCTGTGTGTGTGTGTGAGAGAGAGACAGAGACAGAGTGCAGAGGCCGATCAAGACACAGAAGCTGCATCTATTTACGAGTACCCTCCACATGTGCATGCAGCGTGTGTGGGTGCAGGGGTCTGTTGTTGTGTGTCCTTGTGTATCTGCGTCTTAGTCACCAGCTGTGAAATTCGATTGCGCACATCAGCAACACGTGCAGCTGTCTGTTTGGCAGAGTTTCCCCTCCTTCTGAACGCTAAAGCAATTTCTACTGAGCTGTGACAGATGATGGGATTCATTAATCAGTGTCATTCTGTGTGTAAAGCATTTAAACTGCGCTTCCAAAGCCAGAGAGTTTGGCCGAGTAAGTGCTGAGCTAATATTGTTGGTTGACAACCACATCCACCCACACAGAGACGTTTATTATACTTTTATCTCAATTCATTCTGACTTTTTGCATTTTTATTTCACTGTGAACACTGAGGAATGGAAAGTTCAGTGTTTTGTTTTTTTTGGCTGTGGGTTTTGACTTTTTGACACATTACTTTTGATTGTAATTCATCAAAGCACAGTATAAAACTTTACAAATGAAGCTAATATTTATTTTGAAACATATCTTTTGATCACATTTTCAATAAATGTTTTGATTGTTTAATGTCCATATAATAATGACAAAACTCCTAATATAGTTGTCTTGTTTCTGAGGTGATGTTTGTCTCTCTCTTGTCTTTGTGAAGCAGAGACCACAAGATAATATGATAAGTATTTTTGTTAGATGACTAAAACTATGACTAATCTATAAATCAGCAACTACACAGTGTTGCAGCGTGCCGCCTTACAGCGGGAAGGTTATTGGTTCCAATTGTAGATCAGACAGGGCCTTCTTCTGCAAGTTCTCTTCACTGTAGTGGTGAATGTGAGTGCTTTTTATATACTACTGTGTGTATGTATGGGCTGTGAAGCATCGTACACAAGCAGTGTGTTACCCTAAGGGTGTGGTATTGCCTCGGAAAGCGTTTGTGTATCCATCTGTTACCAAACATCCTTTCCGAACTTCCAGACTAATGTAATGTACTCCACTGTACACTCTATATATTGATTTTACAGGGGTCTTTACATTGTGTGTGTGTATGTGTGTGTGTGTGTGTGTGTGTGCGTGTGTGTGTGTGTGTGTGTGTGTGTGTGTATACCTCTCTGGGAATGTGCCCATGGTACCAGCCATGGCTCCTGATGTCAGCAGGGCTCAGTTTCAGCTCCTCCTCCAGCTCCTTGCGAAGTTTCTCTGGAGGAGACTCCAGCAGGTACTTCTCCTTGGAGAACTGCATGAGGCAAACAAGCAGAAGGAAACACAACATCAGTGGGAGAGAGTTTACACGAGAGTAGACACACTCACACTCACTGTCTAGGTTTAGATGCAGAGTTTATGTTTAACTTTAATTTATTCAGATAAATCCCACAGACATTATGAGCTCAATTCCAAATGGGATCTGACTACTTAACTAGAATATATAAATACTTATTTTAATATTTACAGTACAAAAAGTAGTACAGTGGGAGAACAAATATGTGTGTGTGTGTGTGTGTGTGTGTATATGGGTGTGTGGTTGGTATCATTTGTACAAATACACAGACATGCAGAGAAATGTACACCTGGGTTACAGAAGGCAACTCTGCAGGGAAGCAACACTGCGTGCTGCCTTCCACAGACACAGACACACACACGCACGCACACACACACACACACACACACACGAACACACACGCACACACACACAAACCAATCCAATCGACCCTGACCTGATTACGAAGACACAAATCATCATGAGTAAGCTCTTATTGTTCTCATTTACTGTGGAGACCTCGCTCTTACTTCTGAGTGTGGTCATTCAGGATGGCTTGTAATAACAAAACACACACACAAAACACACACACACACACACACACACACACACACAAACAAATGGATCAGATTTCAGATTTCAAAGCTTCCTATTTCTGTTTGCACTATAAGAACGGCCCTCGGGGGAAATCTGGCTTGTAAAACATGAAAATAAATTCCACTGAGCATTTTCATAGTTATTTACCGACAAATACTCCACAGTGCTGTGTGTGTCTGTGTGTGAGCGAGAGGATGATAACAACAAGTCGGGTGTCTCAGCAAATATTGACACATAGTTTGGTTGAGTCCACACAATGGAGGGGTAGAAAGATAAATAAAAGCGTTGTATTTTATTTGTCTTATCGTTAAGTGCTCTACACTTTAGTCCTGAAGATACTGTGTGTTCTCATGTCGGATCTACCTGAGTATTATTTTCTCAGGGAAATCCCACGCTGGGACCTCGATGTTACGTGACGATGCCATAACAACCGTTGATTTTGGAGAGGCTGAGTTCAGATGGATGACGTTAGATGAGAGGCAGAGGACACACACACACAAGTACGCAAACACAAATATTGCACAACACAGAAAATCCACACAGGAATAAACAGAGAAAGGAAATCATCTGCACTCTTCCAATATGACGAGAAATGAGACTAGAGACCAAAACAAACAGTAAACAGCTTCGTCGCTAAGGCCAGCCTGTCATTCCTCCTAATATTTTCCTTCATCTCTCTCTCTCTATTTCTGTCTCTGTGTTTTTCTCTCACTTTCTCTCAGTCACAGTCCCTGTTGCCCACAGCTCATCCTCCTCTTCATCATCCTCCACGACCATAAAGTTTCAGTTTATTGTTGGACAAAGGGAGAGAAAGAGAGTGTGTGAATGAGGAGGGGAAACTGTGATGATTTGTTTGTGTGTGCAGTGTTTCCATCCGCCAGATTTAGCATGTGCGTGCGATACGAGACGACAAGGGCCAAACAATCGATCTTATCGTCTCCGGGTCACTGCGAAATGAAATTATTAACTTCCTCCTCTCCCTGCTCCTCTTCTCTGCCCTTCTCTCCTCTGCCTTTCCCCTGCAGTCCTCAGGGGGGAAGATGAGAGGAATATCGCCATGGAGGCTCACTCTCCCAGATTAGATTTGAGGTGTGAGTGTGTGTGTGTGTGTGTGTGTGTGAGAAGTAGAGAAGAGGCCAATAAAAGAGCAGAGAGGTCAAGTGTGCAGTTATTGCTTTTCCTTGTCTCTGTGGAAACCCAGAGGAGGCTGTGCCACTGAACTGATGCTCAACAATGAACTGTGTGTGTGTGTGTGTGTGTGTGTGTGTGTGTGTGTGTGTGTGTGTGTGTGTGTGAAGGCTTATGGGGCAAATTGAAATGTCAGTGGGGTTCTATTTATGATATGGTTCAAGGAATGGACTGACATCAGAGGGACACGTTGACAGACAGACTGGAAAATGGACAGATGATCAAAAATTATTTGACAAGGACATTATTATATTCTAACATATGATATGTAAATATGACGGGGGACTTTTCCTTTCGGGCGTTTTCGAGAGTCGAGACGTTGGAGCTCAGAAAAGGTGATAATAGAAAACTGGGTTCAGAAAAATACAGATGACAAAAGACACAATGAATAAGGACGATGGGAGACATTGACAAAGACTGACATGATATTTCTAGAATGTTCCAATGACTGGGTGTGTGCCACACTTACAGCCCCACTATGGTGAATAGGTGGTCGCCATGGGAACATGTCATTGTGTTTGTTGCCTTGCTGGTTTGCATCTTCTTTCAACTACAGAAGCAGTAACTACAACAATCAATGGTATTTCCTCTACTACAATACTTATAATACAACTATTTAAGGTTTACTTATATTATTATAATGTATTCTTCTCTACAATAAAATGATTTTAATTATGTTTACTGCTAATACTACTTTAACCGCTACTAATATGTATTAGTATTATTGATACTGCTGTAATTACATACTATGTTATTTTTTAAGTGGTTTTACTGTGTTTTTTTTAATTTGTGATGCACTTTGTAACTTTGTTTTGAGAAGTGCGATAAAAATATGCTACATAAAGATATTATTCTTATCATTAAATAAATAAAATATAAAACATATATAAAATATATATATATTGCTATTATAAAGTACTGTTTATGTTGATAGAATTTCCCTGCCATGGTTCTTCTGCTTGGGCTATGGATACTATTTGTACTTTTATTATACTCCTTGTACAAGTAACTATTGTTACTTTAAATGTAACTAGTACTATTTTCCATCTCTGCAGTAAAAGTAGCTGCAAAGAAAGAAAACTGAGATATGAATAAATATAAAGGCAGACTTATTTACTTTGTTGTGTATTTCCTGTTGGTTTAAGAGCGACATAAAAGCACAAGATCATATTACATCTGAAATGTGTGTAGACTGAATGCATTTATTCAATAACTCAACAGGCAAAAAACAGATCTGATCGAGAGACGGACAGTTTTAAGAAAAACAGACGGGAGAGGAAAAGAAGCAGACACACAGCAGAGACGTCCTTAGACAGACCGACAAAACAATCAGCATACATAAAGACAGGACATCAGACATTCAGGAAGGCACGGAGGCAGACACACACACACACACACACACACACACACACACACACACACACACACACACACAGGGAAAAGAAACTCATTAATGTAGACAGAGAGGCAGACACGCAGGAAGACAGGTAGCCCATTAGCAGATGAGAGAGTTTAGGCAATTTAGCAGCTGATGCAGGACTTTGCTTTCCCAGGGGGGTGAAGAGAGAGTGTGTTATTGTGTATGTGTGTGTGTGTGTGTGTGTGTGTGTGTGTGTGTGTGTTTGTGTGTGTGTTTGTGTGTGTGTATTCATCCATAGAGTGCATATGTGTGAGTTCTACATGGGTGGTACTATTAATGGATGGGGGGGCTCTCTTTTGGCTCAGATATATTCATTACAAAGGGGGGGGGGGTATAACATATACTTTAAATGGATGGAGGGGGAGTCAGGGAACAGGCTATAGGGGCCATGGAGGAGTGTGCGAATATGTGAATATGAGTTATAGATAACAACCCAGTGTGATCCATCACCCAAGTTACACCAACATGCGCTCAAGCCCCTTTTTGCTCACTGCGGGCCAATTAGAGGGTTTCGTCACCGCACCCTCCGCGGCTAAAATAGACTCTGTTATCACTCAACATCAGTAAGAGAAAAAATGGACCACCTAAAAGGAAAATAAATGAAAGGGATGATAATGGGAGAAAATCTAAATATATGCACATATTTATACATATATAATGTAGACACACACACACACACACACACACACACACACACACACACACACTCAAAGGTGCTTTATTTCAGCATGTCGTTGACTTGTGTGTGTTCTTGTGCTGAATTGATTATTTCTATGTTTGATATTACTTTGTCCAGTTTGCATGATTGCATATTATTTTAAATACAGCCGGGTTCACAGATATAAAATGAAGTTAATGAACATTATTTGATGAGACAAGTATTCATTGAAATCAAGAAATATACAACCACAGGTACAATGCAGCACAGATGAGTAGAGTGTTAAAGGAGACGTATTCTGATCATCCTCTGGTTCATAATGTGAGTTAGTGTTATTACAGGCTCTAATGTTATTACAGGCTCTAATGTTATTACAGGCTCTAATGTTATTACAGGCTCTAATGTTCAGAAAACACATCACTTTAGTTTTAGCTCCCGATAAATACCCGGTCTGCTCTGATTGGCCAGCTGACCTACTCCATTGCAATTGGTCAACCGCTTCCAGCAGGTGGAGGAAATGTCAGCCTCCGCTCCCGCTTTACCCGGCTTTGCTAAGGGGAGTGCCAGACAAGTCGCAACGCTAGCGTCACATGACATCGCATTAATGCAGAAGTATGTAGGGAACTGCTGACGAGGTGTTTCAGGAGCTTCAGGAGTTTCCTTCAAACTATATAACAACACTAGAGGAAAGCAAAATCATCATGTCTCCTTTAAATGTGGCAGAAATCAGCATGTTGTAGTTTGTTTCTGAAGTAGTTTGCGAAAACATGGATGAGAAAGGAAAAGGAAGATAACGGCGGTATAAAAACACGCCAGGGGAGAAAAAAGAAAAAGTAAAGTCTCTGTTTATCAGCATGTAAACAAAAACAGTACAATTAATTATTAACGTATTCTGAAAAGAGTGCAGCACTCACTCATGTCAGAATGCACCTTCTTTCTTTTGCTGCTCGTGGGCTAGCCTCTAACCCTGTTGTCATGGTAACACACTGTGTGGTGGTGGTGGTGACGGAGGCAGTGGGGGGAGGAAAAAGGCACACACACACACACACACACACACACACAATGATGTGAGGGGTCCTAATTCTGAGGAACCTTGCTATCCTTTCATCAGCCCTG